AGGATATTCACCACCATCGAAAGCGTGCAGACACTCCTAAAGCATACCTTGAGGAGATGCCATGGGTGAATTCCACTTCGACCACTTTCTCCAGCTGTATCCACGCGAAATAAGGCCCATGCTCGTTTAGAAGTGGTGGAGTTGGTGGGTAATATCGAGTTCTGCGAGCGCTTCTCCTGGACCGTCTTCGACTGGTCACTCCCACGGAGACGAAGCTCGGCGTTCTGTGAATGGGTCGACCTGATTGAGCCCATTTTCTTTTTTTTTCTTGGTATATATGAAAAAAAAACCCCCGGTAACTACTCCGTATAGATCGGAGGGATTGGAAAAAAGTACACGCAAGGTACTAGACTGTGAGATCAAAAATCCAATTCAAAGTAGAATCTCGATAAATGCTAGAAGAAAAGACGCAGGAGACAAGAAGAAAGCCAAACACAGAAAAAAAAACAAAAGGAAAAAGCAAAAAAAAAAGAGCTGGGGAGTACAAAAGACTATACAGCGTCTGGGCCGCAATACACAATATAAAGGCCAAATCAAACCAGTGCGCTGGCACTTAACAGAACCAATCAGCCCTCGAATAATCCAATCTGAACAGCCAGGAGTTCTTGGCGCAGGTTTTCCATGCTTTTCCCGTGATCGTCCCGTGTCAGGTTGGGCTCGAGAAGAGAAAGAATATATTATAATACACACATATATATATCATATATATACTCTACACTCCGTATAGATAGATAGGTAGATAGATGTCAGTGGTACTGCCATGCTCGGCTTCTAAAATTGGCCTCTCCAAAATATCTGTGTAATATTCGTATTCCTTCAGGGGATGAAACGCCCATCGAGCTGTGGGGAATCTTTTCTTGCACAGCCACGGCCTTGGCTTTGGAGACCTTTGAAAGGTCAAGTACCAATAATACGGAGTACTCCGTACAGTCTACAGGATAGAATGGAAGAGCTTGAGCTTAATCGTCAAATATGGCCAATCAAGCATCGGTGGGTATCACCCTAGTTCTTAAGGTTAGGCTGTAGGAGTTATTAACTAGTACTAGGAATAGTGGAAGTACTCTGTAGCAATAGTTGAAAAACTAGAATTGTACTCTAATACACACTTTTTGTTTAATATAGAATAGTTCTAATTTATATACGGAGTACTCCGTATACTACCTCGGGCTCGTTGTATCCTATTAAAGTTGTATAAATTATAGAGTACTTAACCCATTCTTAACACTGAAAGATAGGTAGATAAATAGATATATATAAATATATCTATATATATCATATTATCATATAAGATATAGAATACAGAATATAAACCTATAACACTGAACAAACACTTATAACAAACCCAGTAAACAGAAAGTCCATGGGCCCACCTGATCACACGTCCGGTTACCATCGGGCGGGGCGCAAAAGTCCAATGGCGAAATCTTCGACGGCAAATTGTCAACTTCTCTTCTTTACACTCCCTCACACATCATGGCTTCTACCACTACTCCCGGCACCCCGCCGGTCACTTTAGACACTATCACCCAGCAGATCGGCAATACGCCCCTTGTTCGATTGAACCATCTGCCCCGCACTCTAGGAATCGATGCTACCGTCTACGCCAAGTTGGAATACTTCAATGCCGGTGGTAGTGTGAAGGATCGCATTGCCCTGCGCATGATCGAAGAGGCTGAGCGATCCGGTCGCATCAAGCCCGGTGATACTCTTATTGAGCCCACCAGTGGCAACACGTAGGTTCTTTTCTGCTGTCAAGGCATGGGCGCAGACGCTAATCGAGTTTCAGTGGTATTGGTCTGGCACTGGTTGGTGCCGTCAAGGGTATGTTTTGAGTGTTGAAGCTTTCCTTGTCCGATCCGTCCTAATTTGGTCTATTCTTCTCTACGCAGGCTACAAGACCATCATCACTCTTCCGGAGAAGATGTCTGCCGAGAAAGTCGCTGTTCTGCGTGCCTTGAACGCCACTATCATCCGAACCCCCAACGAAGCCGCCTTTGACTCGCCCGAATCGCATATCGGCGTGGCCAGACGTCTTGAGAAGGAATTGCCCAACGCCCACATCTTGGATCAGTATGAGAACCCAAACAACCCCTTGGCACACGAGCTTGGCACTGCCGAGGAGATCTGGACCCAGACCAATGGCAAGATCAACGCTATTGTCGCTGGTGCTGGAACCGGTGGTACGATCACCGGTCTTGCACGTGGTTTGCGGAAGCACAACCCCGATATCAACGTGATCGCTGCCGATCCCTTTGGTTCCATTCTCGCTTTACCTCCTTCCCTCAATGAAGCTCGTGCCAATGAGCCTTACAAAGTCGAGGGTATTGGATATGATTTCATCCCCGAGGTTTTGGACCAAGATGCCGTGACCCAATGGATTAAGACTGAAGATAGGGAGTCTTTCAAGTACTCTCGGCGTCTGATCGCCGAGGAGGGTTTGCTGGTCGGCGGTAGCAGTGGCAGTGCCATTGCGGCTCTAGTCAAGGCTAACGAGGTCAAAAAGTTCTCCAAGGACGATGTCGTCGTTGTGATTCTTCCTGACAGCATCAGAAGTTACCTTTCCAAGGTAAGATCAAATCTTTTCTTCCCCCCATTTATCTTGCTATCAAGCTAACCGATTCAAGTTCGCCGATGACGACTGGCTCGCAGCCAACGATCTGCTCCCATCGCTTCCCGCCGTTGCATCGACAACTCAAACCCAGACACCCGAGGCTAATGCTCTGGCCGATGCCAAGGTTAGCGCCTTGCGCTTGAAGCCCATCACTACCGTGACAGCCAATTCCCCTTGCGAGACTGCCATCGAGGTTATGCGCGACCGAGGCTTTGACCAGCTTCCCGTCCTTGCCCCCTCTGGGCGCAAGCTCGTTGGTCTCGTTACGCTGGGCAACGTTCTCAGCCGCCTGACGCACGGCCGGGCCTCGGGTCAGAGCCCCGTCTCCGAGGTCATGTTTGACTTCTCAAAGATCTCCGAGGTGGTCACCGACCCCCGTGATCTGTCCAAGGGTACAGACTCCCTCAAGCCCCGGACCCGGAGTCGCGGCTTTATCGAAATCACCATGGATACCCCCCTCAGCGTCCTAAACCGCTTCTTCGAGTGGAACAGCGCTGCGGTTGTGACCGAGAAGGATGCAAGTGGTGCGATGAAGCCATTGGCCGTCGTTACCAAGGTCGACCTGCTCACTTGGATGCTGCACCAGTCCAAGACCAAGGCCTAGAAATATGGTTTTCTTTGTTTCCTGAAACGCATTCGTATGAGACATGGATTGTTGGGTAGGGGGTTCAACATTCCTGAACCTTTGATATTTTTGGGATAGGCGTTTCTCTTGCGTTGGCATGAAGGCTCCCCGATGGGATTCAACACATGGGATTGAAATACCTAGATCGTGCAGCGCAAAGGCGTTGAATGTGATAAATACTTAATACACACCATAGAGAGTATATATATACATGGTTCTTTTTCTTTTCAATGTTTGGTTTAGGTGGCGATGACGTCGATTGAGATCAGATATCTGCGCAACTTGAGTCCTCTCGACCTCGGAACTTTGCCCACTCCAACCCCCAATTCAAGATGACAGGAATCTTTACATATCGGCACTTCTCCCTGGGAAACATACCGGTGTTGAATGGACGGGTGGCTGTAGTGACAGTGAGTTCTCTCGCTTTATATCTTGGCCTACCAATTTAATTCCCTATAGGGTGGCCAAGCAGGCATCGGCAAAGGCAAGTACAGCCCCTTAATCCCAAGCCAATTGAATATCCTGCAGAGTATAATAATGGAATCTAGAGGTCACCACTCAGCTTCTCTTACATGACATAGAGAAAGTAATCATCATTGCCCGAAGTGAAGATAAATATATCACTGCTTGCGAGGAATGGAGACATCGCAAGGGTATCTCACTCGAGAACGAGACTCAAGTTGAGTTCGTCAAATGTGATCTGGGGGATATCCAGGATGTCAAGGCTGCGGTTGAGAAGATAAAACAAATAACAGACCGGATTCATATACTGGTTTGCAATGCAGGTGAGCTCTCTCTCCATCTCTCTCCATCTTAACTACTCATGATCACTCCATATTGACCTCCCTCCCTAAATTGAAGCCATAAGTGTCCAGAATGAATGCAAGCGTTCATCTCAGAAGATCGAGCGTGTATTTGCAACAAACTGTGTCGGACACCAAGTCCTAACCACATTACTCCTACCTCTGTTGAAGAACGGCGTGGCACATAGCAACGACGCACGAATTGTTGTGACCAGCTCATCATTCCATTTGTGGTGCCAACAGCTCGATCTGGATCTTCTGTTCTCGTCATCACCCGTCAAGTGGCCGGCCTTGTACGATGGAATATGGCGGTATGGCCGGTCAAAGTTGGGGAACATCCTCTTTGCCAAAGAACTCAGTCGGCGGCTTCTGGAAGATGAAGATCCAGCGAGCAAGCAGATCTATGTCAATTCGTTCTTTCCGGGTAACATCGTTACTGATCAATGGTTCGAGTGGGATTCTTATTTTGGGAGATTCCTAGGTTGGCTTATCAGAGCGGCAGGATCGTGGTTGGGTCAGAGTCTGAAGGACGGTGCTGCTACAGCTCTATATCTTGCTACTAGTCAAGAGGTGCGAGAGCAAAACCATCGTGCTCAGTATTTTATACCTATCGCTACGCCGTGTGAGCCCAGCGCGATATCTAGAGATATGAAGCTGGCTCGAGAGCTGTGGGTGAGTACCATTTCGGTTTTTTTTTTTTCTTTCTTTCTTTCCTTTCACGCCATTGTGTTTCTATCATTGCTGACCATACAGGATTGGATTGATGCCCAAGCCACAGAGATGCTGGGATTGGACTGGCAATATCAATAGAAAACCACGTAGTTCTCAAGCCCCCGTGGACCTTTTCAGAGAAACTTTCCTTTTTTGTTTTCCCAGGCATAACATATACAAGTAAACCATGATAGGACCACCTATTTACTTTTTCGGACTATCAAGATAAAAGAGCAAACAGTTATATCGCTCACAAGCACATACCAATCCACTCCTCCCAGCGGCGCACTCCAGATCCAAACTCTTCCTGCAAGTCACCCTTGACAGCACCACCAACCACATCAACCTTGACACCGACCTCGTGCTCCAGGAGCTTGAAGCTGAAAGTCTCTTGTTCATCATTACCCAAGATTTCTTCTTCGGCTTCCAACTCAGTATCTGCGCTTGCATCCAGAAGACCCTTGGTCTTTGACTTGCGGATGCGATCAATCTCCGCTTCCAGCTTCTCTTTCACCGCACCCGGTGGTAGTGCAGTGAAGAGATCTTGCTTGTTTGCGGCGATTAAGACAGGAATATCAGTGGTCCGCTTGCTCGATGACCCATTCTTTGCACGCTTCTGGAGAAAGAGAAGGACGTCGTGCAGATAGGTTGCGGTGTCACGGAGCGTCGCTTCATCAACTAGAGCAGCGGTGTCTACCATAAACACCACGCCACGTAGTCTTGTCTTGATATCCTTTGACTGGGACATGGCTTGGAGCTCGGCGATCCCTTGCGAGGCGCGGAGCTTGCCATGGCCAGGGGGTATCCTTTACGCGGTACTTGATTGGATTCCGGGTGGCTTCCTTCAAGGAGGGATCGTTCACCGATCGGTAGCGATTAGATCCTGTTGGGACAGTCGGTGGTAAGGTCACGGTTACTAGGGTTGATTGTTGGGAGGTGTGGGTGCTGTGCGACTTGTTCGAAGCGAGTGAGGATTTGGCCTCGAGCTATAGATTAGTTAGCAAGGGACCTACCACTCTGACTCAGGTCACGGAACCTACCAAGGTCGTAAACGCAGTTTTGCCAGCTCCACTGGGGCCCAGGAGTAGGAAATTACTCGATGGCGGAGACGCTACGGCCTGGAAGAAGAAGATGTGCAGTGCGATCGGTACACCAAAGGTGACGAGGACGGCGATAGCAATGGCAACAAGGTTGCCATCAAACAGCAGTGTGGCAATGCCAGTGACTGAGTTCCAATTTGCTTGAGACGACATGGTTGTTAAGTTCCAAGTCCAAAGTTGTGGGCTGACACTCGGACAGGAGAAGCCGCCTTGATAGCACGGACCGTGTACTTATCTTAGTGCACATCACCGGATTCACCGCTTTTATACTTCAAAACCCTAAGGGCTCAAGGGTTTAAGGGCTTAGGAATGATGATGATGCACATACCAGGGCACCCTATGAAGGGATGTTTTTCTTCTCTCCTGACTGGAGAGATTTACTCTCTGTTCTCTCTCAAAGTCTGTGTTTCTCAATCATATCAATCTCATCAACATGAGAGTCCAATTGCTTCAGGTCGCCCTGTTATTTACGGCTGCCTATGGCCAGATCAATTCTCAGATCACAACATATGATCTGAGTTTCGATGCTGCAGCTCCCGTGAGTCTGCTTTGGGGGGGCTTAGAGGACGAGTCGACTTCAACTTATAATTTTTATCTCTGTGCCGGTGACGAGACGACAGGTGCATATGTATGTTTCTTTCTATCTTGGCTGAAATAGGGACACATAAGAGCTTACCACATTATTCAGGATACTCTATCGCAAGTCATCAATAATGGTGCCTATTCTCCTGGTGACATGGTGTCATTTCAAGTCGACCAAAGTGTCGGTGGAAATGAACCCAATGCATAGTAAGATCATCCCTAGAATCAGCAGCTCCATAACTTCCTTTTGTGACTAACCAATGTCGCCTGGTTTCAATTAGCTTCCTCAAGATAGTTCTATCAGGCCCTCATAACTACTGGTCTGGGTTCACCTCCCATTTCACTTTGACCAACATGAAAGGTAGTTTCTCGACCAAAGTAACAGATGCGATCAAGACAATGCAACCGATTCCCGCCATTGCTATTCCCTGGCCTACGGTCGAAGACGATCATCTCATCGAGGCCCCAGAAACCACTTCAACTTTTAATGTATCAGGTCTCACGAAAAGCCCTTCAATCGAAGTGGCCTTGCAGTTCCCGACCCCAACCGTCAAAGGCGAAGCCGAGCATAATGAGCTGCGCAAACGGCAGGTGGCTGCTGCTGCCGGCGTTGGCGTTGGTGTGGGTGTGGGCGTGGGCGTCACTACTACAGTTGACCAACATACTGTCCCATATGGTGAGCAGACTGGCTCTATCAAATATGCCCCAATGCCCAAGCGCGCTGGGACTACTGTCGCAACCAGATCGGCCACTCCTCAGTATCCGCCTTTCCCCTTCTCCATTGCGACTACCTACCTAGGTGCACCAACCGTGCAGTACACGGATACGGCTTTTGCAACATGGACAGCGAACACCATCGAGAACACGGTGAGTTTGGTTCTTAACTGTGCTTGAAGCCGGTTGGTTTTGAAAGCTAATACTTTTTGTCTTGCCTTTTTGTTCAGGCTGCACCCGCTCCTGCGCCCACATTAAACAAGAGAATGCAGAACTGGTTGGACAATCGAAATGATTGATAGGCTTTCGAGCATGTCAGTTTTGTTTTCTCGGGTATCTTTACAGGACACTTGAGTTGGCGTGGAAATATCCAATTTCCTAGTGATTTCATTCACGCCTTGGAGGTCATCATTTTGGGAGTTTTCTGATCTACCTAGACTTAATGTCTTCCTTTTTCTTCTATTTTGATTGTTGGCCTACATACCCCGAGCAAATTTTATATTAAACGATCAAGGTTTGACTGGGAATATCGATCATCCAATGCAGTTGAATGCAAGAAAAATTTCGCTTTTTTGTTCGTAATATGCGTATACTGAAGGATCCAACATTATACCTCAAGGGGACTTCCATTCCTCCAAGGCCGGTGTTAATGACGGTGTCACCGTATGGCTGTGGTCGTCGGGGTGGAACGAGATGTTCTCTCGCATTGCCACATAGTCGCTATCGGCATAGCCAAGTAGTGACTCAATCTGTGTGCTGCGGTGGCCCTTGATGTGTGTAATTTCAATGCTTCCGTAATTCACCAGAGCCCGACCGACTTCCTTAGGTTCTTCTCTATGGTGGATAAAATCACCATTCAAGGCATCCGGAGATGGCCGATCAACCACTACGAGTCGCACAGATTCCTGCTGTCCAAAATGGCCTTCAACTCCGACTACTCCAGCTGGGAGAAGATTGGCATTGTTCAAAAGTGCGTGGTAAGCTCCACGGTCGATGTATAATGTACCATGTGGGTACAGTCCATGGAGTAGCCAGAATGTCCGTGATTGAATCGGGGTGTCTGAACGAATGAATCGGGTATGAAGAGGGGCAGTGGGTGCCTCATTTTGGTTGTCAGTTGCTACGCCATTGGACTGAGCCTCGAGGTATTGCAGGTATTTCACAATGTCGTGGACGTTGCCTGGTTTTGAGCTCTTGGTGATAACCGTAGTGACACCAGCACTGGTTCCAAGCTTTGCGGCCACAATCTTCGTGCTCATGCCTCCAGTACCAAGAGAGGAGCCTGCCGATGAGACATCAGCCTCAAGAGAGGAGATATCGGTCACCACCTCAATGGGTTTTGCGTCTGGGTTGGTTCGGGGGTTTGCTGAATAAAGACAGTCGACATCGGTCATCAAAAACAAATAGTCGGCCTTGACCATTGCCGCGGTAATTGCAGAAAGGGTGTCGTTGTCGCCAAATTTAATTTCCTGGAAATCATTGGGTCAGATGCGTAATCGTGGCTGGAAAGGAACCTTCCTTACAGAAACCGCCAGGGTATCATTTTCGTTGACAATAGGGATTACTCCCATATCAAACAACTGCCCAAACGTATTTTGCGCATTGACATATTGGGTTCTCTGTATTGAGTGTCAGCGGAGGAACAGACCTGGGCAGATATAAGAGCACATACATCAGCAATATCATTTCGCGTCAAAAGAATCTGGGCCACAGGGACACGAAGATGCGAGAATAGATTATCCCAAAGACTCATCAGTCGACATTGACCAACTGCAGCGAGAGCCTATAGATTCCATTAGCATTTCCACTGGACATATTATATGGGTTTCTATTTCGAGAATGGCAGACATACTTGTATGCGCGGCAGATATGTTGGTCTTTCGTCCACATTCATCCTTCGCAGGCCAACGCCCACAGCACCAGATGATACAAGGACGACCCGGTGACCATCTCTATGTAGCTTGGTGACCGTTTCCACAATCAGTGTCAAGATCGAAAGGATCGGCTCGTGGGTTTTCTCGTCAATAATCGAACTCGTTCCTGTTACATCTAGTGGTCAGTACTCGAGTCATCGGACAACAGATATAGATCCCCGCACCTAATTTGATCACAATTGTGAGACCCGATGAGGCCGCCATGACGCAAATTTTGGTTCAAATAAATCCCCGGAAACAACCAAGTAAATAAGAAACAAATGAAAAGAATACAGAAAGGCCTGTGCTGTTCACTGCCCCGCGGCGATGAATCGCGGAAGAGCACTTTTTGCCCGACTCCGGCGCCGATTCTGCCAACCACCACCGCCATTCCCGGAGGATCTCGCTTTATCGCGCGCAGTGATGGATAACACTCGACAACTCCACGATCGAAAATGACAGATTCCCAGTCGCCAGGTGCGACTGCACCTTCAAATGGAAAACCCGATACTACAGGCTTTCTCCCCGGTGATGACACCTGGACCCAATTCCGCAATATCTATTCCATCCTCACGGGTAAGATGTCCAACGAAGGAATTGAGCAGTTCCGTGTTGCACGAGACACTCGCAACGAAGAAGCAGACTGCAAGCGCTGTGAGGATCAGCGGGACTTTCTTCTTCAATATAGTGAGTTTTTCGTCTAAGAGTTATCTGAGCCAGATACTAACACGATCAATTTATTAAGGTCCTACGATTCGATTCCTCAGCGAAAGCATTCAACAACTAGGAGGCGATCTTCACAATCATAATATCTACTGTCGTCGTTGTACTGATCGGAAGGGTGGTGGTTTCGATCCGGAATATGGAATCCTGATTTGCGCAAATGAGATGAAGGACCAGGGACACCTTGAAGATACTATGGCCCATGAGATGGTTCATGCTTTTGACCACCTCAGATTCAAAGTGAATTGGTCCGATAATCTGCGGCATGCGGCATGTACCGAGGTATGTGTTACTCTGATTGTTTCAACATGTCAACTTTTGCTAAACCCGGTTAGATTCGAGCTAGTTCGCTCAGCGGCGAGTGCAGATGGGCGCGCGAATTCTTTCGGAGAGGGCAGTGGAAGCTTACACAACAGCACCAAGAGTGCGTCCGGCGGAGAGCCATCCTCTCTGTGCGAGCACGCCCAACTTGTAAAGACGAAGCTCATGCCACAAGGGTCGTCAATGAAGTCTGGGACAGCTGTTTCAGAGACACACGCCCATTTGATGAGATCTACCGATGATACCATAACTCATGCAGCGTTGTACTATTCTCCACCCTTTTGTATGATAGATATTGTTTGGATGTACTATATTTCATGGGTTTCACTAGCGACACGAACCTATATACTGGTGTTCTTTTGGGGGCTTTTTACACGTAACAGTAGACATGACTACATGTATGTATCATCTCATGGCAGGCACTAGCCCTAGAGAGGAGAGATGGTATCAAAATATACATCTACCCATAACTAGTCTATAGTAGCTAGCGGTAGTCAAGAAAATCGGGGAACACAAGCTACAGATCTGGTCTCATACTATTGTTCACCCTACCTCTGGGTATAAATGGCAGATAACCGTACCTTCTTGTCGGTTGGTTAGAATGTACAACGTTGTATTGAACACATTCAACACCTTGGAGGCGAAAATAAAATTAAGATCAAAATATCAACATATCGCGAGTACCTCTCCAGCTTGATCCGAAGACAAATCCAATACGCCTTGAAATGCTTGCAAGCTCAGAACACCAAAACTCCACGTGAGAAACACGTCAAAAGAAAAGATAACCAGAACTCCCAGAAACTCTGTAATGCAAGGGGCAAGTCATAGTTTATGCTTTGCCCTCCTTGGAAGAACCCGAACTTCGCTTCACAGTTCGATCATCTTTCTCACAGTGCTTGACAATCCAAGGATGACGTTGGATCTCCTCGAGCGGGATTCTCTTCGCGGGATCAAGAACAAGAAGCTAGATATCATGTGAGCAAGGGGGCCTTATATGTTAATAGAAAGATCGACTCACCTTCTTGATAAGGTCCTTTGCCTCCGGGCTTACGAAGGAGGGAACTGACATATCTGCCCTGGTAATCCGCCGTTGGGTCATGACAGGGGTATCCTCGAACGGAGCCTCGCCGACCAAAAACTCGTACATCAAAACACCTAGACTCCACAAGTCCACCTTCTCGCTATAGTAATTGTCCTTGGAACCATGAGCGAGCATCTCTGGGGGCAAGTAGTCGAGAGTTCCACACATCGTTTGACGTCGGTTATTGGGGGCATGGACACTCCAGCCGAAATCACTGATTTTGATCTCTCCATGAATGCCAACAAGGATGTTTTCAGGTTTGATATCACGATGCATGACATGCTTTTTGTGTAGATATTTCAATGCTGCAGCCATCTGTGCAATATATTGTGCGGCCTTCCATTCCGGGAACCGATGCTCCTTGCGAAGGTGCTTGTACAGTTCACCGCGGCCAGCAAACTCGAGGATCAAGAAGATTCGTTTGCTGTCATGGAAGTGACCATAGAGCCTCAGCACATTAGGGTGACGTAGGTTACTCTGAATCTCGATTTCGCGCCTGACTTGCTTTTGGACACCACCCTGTTGTAACTCAGACTTGTGTAGCACCTTTAGTGCGCAGACGAAGCCAGATGAACGTTCTTTGGCAAGATAAACTCGCCCAAACTTGCCCTTTCCCAGTGGTTTACCAATTTCAAACATCCCCAAGTGCAGGTCCTTGGGGACAGTTGGCTGCTCGCAGAGGGTAGAGGATGTGCGTTGGTCGCCATTTTCATCGGTGCTACGGGTCACCAATGCGCCATGGGATCCCCTGCCTGGCGATGCCGGAACATTCATGGCATTTGCCTTGTTCTCATTATTATTTTGAAGAGCTAATTTCAGTAGTTGAGCTCGATTCGAATTGCTGTTTGACTGGGCGGAAGAAACCGGTGCCTTGGAAATCATATCAGCAAGGTGGATCTCCAACCAGATTGCATTGAGTCAAGTAGTCAAGTACCTTTTGCTTGCCATAGGCTCGGTCACTGTTTCCATTTTCTTTTTCATCTTTCATGGACAGATGCTCAAAGCGAGCTTCGAGCGTCTTGGTTGTCGCCATGGTAAGAGGGCGTATGGGATTAATGGAAGGCGAATAAAGAATGGGAAGAGAATGGTATAAGAAGTAGCCAAATCTGGGTTCAAGTTTAGTTCAGTGCAATCATGATCACTTTGCGCGGGGTCAGTCGTTGGTCGATGGGATACCACAAAGATGGAGAGAGAAACAGAAGCTCGGATGTTTGGGCGATCTCCAGAGCGTCACCCCAGCAACCCCAGCTGATGTAATATATGTACCCTATCACACCGCCAGCGTCTTCCGCTCTTGGCGCCTACGTACGTATATCACCATACCGATAGTATGCTCGGAGAATATGTTGCATTTGTAGTTTGAGGTGTCCACAACGCTGTCAGAATTATATTTTTTTTTTTTTTTTTTTTTTTAAAAAAAAGGGAACGTATTCTAAATTCATTGGAATGCTATCTGTAAAATAATTGAAAAGGGTAGATCTATTAACCCTATTAACCCTATTAGCCATCCTCGTAAGCCTTTAAGAATTCTGCCGAACAAATAAAGATTGGAGGGTCGGACCGCCTCTTTCTCCGTCCGCGGGGTTATCGCTATCAGCTCCAATCGCAAACATTCATACATGTACAATAGCCCCGGAGATCCTCAGTCGTTTTTGATCTCTTGCGGCCTTTTCAAGCTCTAATCATGGCAACAACATGTGCCACGGTCTCTCCAGAGGCAAAGAAACCCAACTCGATCACCATCAACGGGTTTCGAATTTCAACACAGAAGCTACCCATTCTCAAAGCCGACCCGATCGAGGAAATGACCCAGAAACTTGGCATTGCACCCCCGGAAATGATCTTCGGTGATAATTATGTTGCAATAGAGCATGAGAAGGGTAACTGGGGCATCAATTTCAATGCGTTTGATGCCTTAGACTTGGTTGACAAAACTGGACAATCCATGCTCCAGGTCGCGTACTCAGGGGAATGGCAAAAGAGCAGGTATTTTCGCAACCTCCCATTTTCGCTTATTCAACTGTGGCAACTAATGGATTGGTACTCAGAGAGAAAACTCATGAAGGGATTAAAGAAGTCGTGAAGCCGTTCGACTGGTCATATAGCACCGACTACAAGGGCACCCTCCATCCTAATGCGCAGCCGTTCGAGCCAACGACGAAGTCCATTCCAATTGAACTATTGAAGCGCCCAGACCCCATCCTATTTTTCGACGAGGTTGTTCTTTACGAAGACGAGCTGGCGGACAATGGGATTACCATGCTGTCTTGCAAGATTAGAGTGATGCCAGGGAGACTCCTTTTATTGACAAGGTTCTTCATGAGGCTTGACCACGTTTTGATACGACTCCGAGACACTCGAGTCTATGTGGACTTTGCGACAGGTGAAGTTATTCGGGAATATGTCTCGAAGGAGTGTGAATACGAGAAAGTTCGACAGGTATGTGCGGTCATTGGAAAACGAGAATTTATATCTGATCTGACGATCATCCACAGATGCTAGCAGCAACCAGGGACGATATTCCGGCTTTCTTGAGAGATCCCAACCGACTCTCTGAGATCCTCCCACTTGTAGAAAAACACTCCGAGCGATTGGTGCTAGGCGATTGACATATCTGCGCTCCCTTTTCTAGTTATTCGCGGGGTATAGCCAATCATTGGGCTCGGATACAGATATCAGTGTTACTGGGCTGTTCGTCATTTAGGAACTGATCATCCCCACAAACGAAATAGACCGCACGATCATGACGACCATACACCTGGATTTTGGCCATTAAATGCCCAGGATTCGCCTACGTGAGTCTTTTGTTAGACTTAGTTGGTTTGGGTTGCAACCTACTACCACACTTAACGATCAAATTCATGAGACACATTCAAACGATACAGACGAATATGAATGGGACAGAGCTTGAGTTAAATAACACTAAACCATCAACTAAATAACTAGCGGTAACTCCACGTATAATATAAAAAGTGCGAAAATGCAATCGAGTTCAGTAGTAGCTTGTAAGAATATTGGCCCGATATATGCATGTTAGATGGACCCCAGTGCCTCCAGGGCGGCTGTATCGATATCGGAACAAACAATGCAAACGCATTTTATCAGAAAAAAAGATCCAGATCACCAATCACGAGAGACCAATTCACGAAATTCCCCATCCTCAGCAATGTCATCCAGGAGATTATCAACACTATGGGCGCGCGATATTCGCGGGTCCCAGAACCTCTGCCTCTCCAGATCTGCTAGTCGCAGCCCGATAACACTGGCCGCCTCCTGCGCGTATACGGAACAACCATTGAAATCGATCACCACTCGATCATATTCGCAAAGTAAGGTCTCCGACTTGGCTAAGGACTTTTCGCGGAGACCCGGAAATGCCGCCGAGACTTATGTCGCGTATGGCATGACACAGAAGTTATTCGAGGCCTGTTCCAGCCAAGCCGATTACAAGATCCCCCAAGCAACGCAAAAGGGAGCGGAGGTCCCGAAAACAGAAGCTGGTGAGGATCTTGGTGTCGGAGAGGGTTGGTGGTATAAAGGTGAGACAATCCTAGCAGCCTTTGGCCTGGGCTATGATCTGCTTTGAAGACAAGCTAATTTCGGGCGTTGCTATAGAGCTCGGCCTCTTGCCAACTTTTTCTACCTGGTCCCAGGTGACTTTCCTCCATATGTACCTCCTGACGGTTCGCCTCCGTGCCTTGCCCCATCGCGATAGCGTTACCACCTACTCCCGTCATTTGATCGATCACTTTTCGCATGAAGCGGAACACCGCATGGACGTGTATCATGATCTCGGTAGTCGCACTATTCGCAACAAGTACCTGAAGGATCTGTTCATTCAATGGCGTGGAATAATTGCTGCATATGATGAAGGGTTGGCCAAAGGCGATGCGGTGCTGGGCGCCGCTGTCTGGAGAAACCTCTGGAAGGGAAGCCAGACCGGACCGGATGGGAAAGAAGAAATTGACTGGGCTAAGGTTGCCCAGGTCGTGGCCTACATGCGCCGAGTCTTGTCGGAGCTATCGAAGAAGGACGAGGTGGATCTTGTTTTCGCTCTTGGACGTGATGGCCAGAAGAACACTGCTATCTTCGAGTACTCGGAGACGGACAAGAAACTTGTTCAAGCAAACAAATGAGAGGATAACCCCGCATAATTGAGTGGGTTGCCTGCCAGGTATCCGTTCTGCTGTTTTATATCCTTTTGGTTATAAAGATATGTACAATATTTAATTGCCCTACTCTTTTCGCATATGAAATTTTATTGTTCGAGATCACGACACAAAAGCACATCGGTGAGCATTCACTTTCTATCTATTTGAGCAAAACACGACACGGAGAGAAAGAGTTAGTTGTCTTTCTTGCCAAACAAATCTTTCTCCACCATGCCTCGGCAGATAGGGTGATAAAAGTCCTTGTACTTCTCGAATGTAGCGAGGGCGACAGGGCGATTGATCTTCTGGAGATTGCGGAACCTAGAAAGAAAAGGAAAAGAGAAAGACCATGTCAGCAACAGGAACGGAATCTGCGGTTAGGGCGGGGGCATCTTACAAAGGTCGCACAAACTTCATCCGTCCAATACGGCCCAACAACTCTGTTGTTGGCTCAATGACGCTGTCATCTCCTGCTTTCATACCAACCTGGCAGTAAAGGTTCGAAACCTCGATATTCTCGCTCTCGGCCAAACCGTAGACATCACCCATCAACTTCGAGATTTTGGGGCTGAGAGGTGTCTCCAGCACAAGCATCTGCTCCAGGAAGACAACCAATTGGTTTGCCGTCAAGCTCTGGATGTCACTGATATGAGGTTCGAACGAAGAGTTGGGAAGGGACTGCCATTTCTTGGAAAGTTCATAGACAACGTCCACCATCGATGTGTCAAAGCTTGGCTTGGGTGGTAGACCTGGCGCATAGAACCACTTGTCCCAATCCACTTCGTCCAAGAGCTTAGAAGCCTCGGCATCTGACTTGAAGAAGTCCAAAATCAATGCTTTGAACTCATAAGAGTCGAGCGATTTGCACTTGAAGGTCGTGAAATACTGCACATAAAAAAGTCAATAGAAGAAACCGAACGAGAGTAGAGAGATTGCGTACGTGAGGGATAAACTTGTCAAACTTTGACTTGCTAACAAGATTCTCAAGGTAGAACAAGAAGTTGAAACCCTTCTCATAAGGAATACTTGAGAATGCGTCGTCGGGATCTTTGCCCTTCAGATCAACAATAAGTTTGGTGAATTCATGGTCGTCACCAAAATGCTCGACAGCGTCAGTCAGAGACTTCCACCCAATAATAGCCGAAAAATGGCGATAGGCTTCGCCGTGAATGGCAGCCAAAATCCTTCTCTCGAGGTAAACGGTCCAGCCTTCATTCAACCAGAAATGCTCCCATGAGGCATTGGTAACCAAGTTACCACTCCAGCTGTGAGCTAATTCGTGTGCAATGACATCGATGTTCTCACGGTCCTGGTGAGTGTATTAGTCATGGCCTATCGAACCGTTGCACAGAGGATACTACGTACCTTGGAAATGATACTCGGGGTAGCAAAAGTGAAAATCGGGTTTTCCATGCCGCCATACGGGAAACTAGGGGGCAGGATCAAAACGTTGTACTCGCCCCAGGCATAAGGATAAACGATTTTCTGTTTGAAGTCAGAATTGACAATTGACCCTTAATATGAATGGAACATAGGCTGTGTACCTCGATTGTTGTGATGAAATTTTCGGTATCAGCCTCGAGCTCCCATTTGCACTCTTCCAGCTTGTCAGGGCTGGTTGCAACGACACTCCGGGGTCCGATTGGAGCCTCAGCGACATCACTGGGGAATTCTGAGTTAATGAACAGTACCTTTGAGAACGGTGAAGGGGTTCTTACCCGCTAGCAATAGCAAAGAGGTAGCTGGGGATTGGGACCGACTGGTGGAATCGATACAGTTGACGGTCCGTCTTGGACTCCATGGACGAGTTGCGAATCGGCAGACCGCTAGTCATCACCGGAAGCGGAGAGGTGATGTTGAAGTCAAAGGTGGCTTTAACATCCGGAGTGTCCTGACAAGGAAAAATAGACCGCGCGTGAATTGCCTGGCATTGGGAGACTGGGCAATTTTATCAGCTACTGAAGCTCAAGGGACAGTTCAAGGTTGTCACATACACATGTATGGATGTTTCTTGTTTGAGGTTTGCGCGGGCGTCAGCCACTGCAGCGCAGTGCACTTGTCGGTGGTTTTCACCTCGATCTATGATTTTAAGTGAGATGGAGCTCCTTGGGGAGAAATGATTGCAAAGCATACATCGACCTCAACGGTACCATTCAACTTGACGGGATTATCAAGGCTAATCCTCAACGGCACACCATAGGGCTCCAGCGAAGGCAGAAACTCCCACTTGGATGGCTGGCCATCCACCTTCACCACACCAATGTCAAGATGGCTGGTATCTAGGATAATCTCCTTGGACTCGCCATCGGTGATGGACTTGAATTGATGAACAACATTTCCCACCAATTTCTTCTGGTCGAAGAGAATATCGAAATTGGCCGTGACATGGGTGGAACGCCAGTTGTTGTAGTTGCTCACGGTGTTCGGATCCCGCGGAGGGTTGATGGTAGCCATAGTTCGAATTGAGGTGGATTGCATGAATTGTACCTTGATAGAACGTAATACTAAAAAAGGATTCAAGTTCAAGTTCCGAGTCAAGGAACGACCTAAGGTGGGAATCATGAGGAGGGAAGGTTTTTTTTTTTTTTTCCCCTCCCATATCTTTTCTCCCATCTCCCCATCCATCTCCGTCACTAAGCGTCAACTTCCATGTCTCAGATTATCGACGTTACATTTTATATATACATAGTTGATAGTTATATATATGCTACTGTCTATATTACTTATATCTATTAGGTTTCTATCTCTGGAGTTATCTCTTCCAAGTTTCTAATATACAATTTATTCCCTTCTACTCTCTGTATAATAACCCACGTAGCATATATATATCCCTGTGTGGTATATTGGCCTACGCTAGGGAGAAGTCTCCTCCCTTTTTCTTCTTTTTTTTTCTTTCCATCTTCTCCCCTTGAGAATCTAGACACCCAGACATCCAAAATCCAAAAATTATCTTTTTATTACTTCTTCTAATCTCTCCCAACTCATCGTATATCCCTCCGACATCCCCGCATTGTCTTTTTTTCCCTTCCCATTTGTCCACCGCCCGGCAACCCGGGACCCCCCTGAAGTAGTTCAAGCCCCCCCCTGACGAACTTCACGAACTTGACGAATCTCCAAAAGTGACTGCTAGTCTGCCCTTTTTGCGGATTCAATAGATTCTTGTTCCTTGGAGCCACATTTTTATGAGTGTGGTGGACGCCAAAAATAAAACAAAAATACTCATTTGTGAGTTTGCTTCCTGTTCTTCAATGCGCATGATTCCTGATCGTTCTAGGTCAATTGAAATAATGTTTCTTAGTCTACTACTTTGAAACTCTCGAGCCCTCCCGATTACGAAGCTATGTATTGAGACGGATAAGGGGTTTTCAAAACCAAGGATACTCCACGAGACATACGACCACATCGACACTCCAAACTTGCGAAGAATGAGCGAAGACACACAGGACCTGGTTGTCAAT